CTCAAGGATGGACCAGAAGACATAGTTTGGACTAGGCAACATAAGATGGCCCTTGTCAGAGGATAATTAATTATCTACAGGCAGGACTAGAGCTGCTATAACTTCTATAAACCTTCCACTTCGTTCTAGCTGCAAAACCTCTAGGACCTGCTGCTTGATTTCTATTCATAGGGATATCCTGAGTGGTCTTTCAACTGTTTAAGTGTTCTAATTCCAGGTTTCTCAACCTCAACGAAAATTTATTTACCATATTTATAAGCTGCCCACTCAATGGACTCTGGCAACTGATGATCTTCTACCTGTCACTTCCTTCAAAAATGTTTTATCTTGATCAGTCATGTTGGTTTGGTAGGATTATTCTATCTACCAATATGAAAAAACAGTAAGAAAAGAGAAGTGCTTTTCACCCATTCCATCTGATGGTCATGCAAAGGAATCTAACTATGTCATGACTGTCTTTTCCTGGTGAATATAATTTTCTTTCATTTATTCTTCTAACTATATTCCTCATTTTCCTCAAACAGTGCTGAAACAGAAAGTCATAAATAAAAACTTAAAACTCAGCAATAAAAACTTACTATATAAAAACTCATCAAATAAAAAAAAGACTGAATGTTTTTAATGGTTGATTGAAATTTTCAAATGGTACTTGCTAACAGGACTAGATGCAGAGTTGTCTTTCAGACATAATTTGAGATGCATATTTGGATCATAACAATTCTATTTTATGTCCACTGAATATTTTATCTTCCTTATTCCTCATTAGGTGAGCTCATCCTATTTATAATCATATATGTGGACTAGGTTCAAAGAGCAAAGATACACTGAGAGGCTTTATCAATTATTCCATTTTAATTCTGCATCTTTAATTCTGTTACTACAGAATTTGTGGGAGACCTATTTTGGTAGTCCACTTGGGCTTTTAACATGGGTGGTGATGATGTCCAGGACTGAGGTGGCAGATAGGTTAATTTTAAGCATCTGATTTTTATTTTGCATAAATGTGTGTGTGTGTCACTGATACATTTAAATATAAAGACACACACATATGCAAGTATACAATTTTAAGTCAAAGTGTTCCTCTCTCCATGTAGCCCTTATAATAGTTAGATTCATTTTAGAGAGAGGAATTGAATCCAGTGAAGAGAGAGAAATGAAGAAGAAAAAAGGCATAAGGCAATGTTAAGATTCAGAGGAACTGGAATTTCTAAATAAAAGATATCTGAAAATGGCACGAAGAATTAACCTCTGTCTAACCTGCCCTCAGGCAATGAAAATTTGGTTAAGTTAAAAAGCAAGGAGATACACTAATAAGTATATAGCATATTACATTTGAGGTTAAAGAATTCCATGATTTAAAGTAGAAGCCCTTCTTTGTCAATTATTGATTAAGCATGTTTTTGAAGGACTTACCCAAAGGCTTTATGAACATTTCTGTAGGCTGCTGTGGGCTCAGCTGCAAGCTAGAATCCCAATGGCTACATACACACCCTATGTCAACAAGTCAATGATTTAGGAATTTGCTGAACTGAAACTTTGCTGTAAATCAGCATCGTTCCATCTTCTGGCACCATTAGTGAAATGGTGAGAATTCTTCTTCTTTTTAGTCAATTATTGGGACATTGTAATTAATAGAAACCCTAGATAAAGTAAGTGTATCTCAACAGTGTTCTCAATTACTTATGTTGAAATTCAGTACATATTTTGGTTCAAACTGCACTGATGTTAATGGGAATTAAGCAGCCTATTTGCAAAGGACTAAAGCCTAGATATAGACTTCAGAATTATTTCTAAAAATGACTATTTTTGAAAAGTGAGAAAATATTTATTTAGTATATTTTCAGATCCCAGTCCTGCCATATATTCTCTATGGTCTCCAGCCCCACCCAACAGCTAAACACATATGGCATGAAGAAGTGGACTGAACATTTCTGTAAACATTCTGGTTATAGATTCCTTCTTATATTTTTTCTTTTAATTTTTTGGTATGTAAAGTAGCAGATAAGTACTTGGGATAAAGTTTATGGTAGCATATAATGTAAATATGATGTCATTCTATTTGTGTTTTTAAAATTATTTTAGAAGTGGTTAATTGTGCCAGGATATACAGTATAGGATGTGGGTGAAACACTGTAAGCGATTAAAGACATTTAATAAATAAATTACAGAATAACATTTGCATTAAAAGTTTGTGAGCCCAACCAGACTTTTGGTGATTTAATGGACATATCTACATAGTTTTCTTGGCAACAATATGGAAGTGGTTTGCCACTGCCTTTTCTGAGATGTTTTCTTTACTTCCCTGTTTTATATACAGCCCAAGCAGTCTTCCATCCAAGTAGTAAAGTGGCCTGACTCTGCTTAGCTTCTGAGATTAGCCAAGGTTAGGTAGGCATGGCTACCTGCTGAAGCAAGATCTATACTGTTAGCTTCTAATCCAGAAAAATTTTTGTTTGGAAGCCTGTTTTGTTTATGCAAATCAAGTAAAACAGTACTTTGATGATCTTACAACAGAGAGGGGCAAGTAGCCAGGGGCTGCAAACAGTTTTGGGAGGATGAGGCTATACTGGGCAGAATGATAACACAAAGTGAACACAACCAAAATATTCTGGTTTCTGCAGAATGGACTGGAGAAATTATTATTTTAGGGCTTAAACTATGTTAGCCATATATTTCCCAGTTCAAACTAGTTAGAAAAAGCAGCTCCAGGGTTTAGAGGTTGGCTGTGAACCTATATCTTCATATTGCCCACCTTATCTTTGAACCTATTAAGAAGATTGTAAAGGAGATGTCATAAAGATACTGGCCCTATTTAGGCATGCATTCATGTGATTGAAATCCTTCAGAGCAGAAGCAGGGAGCTCTGCCTGCTGAATGGCTGCCCTTTTACCAGTTGTGATAGATGTCTTTAGATGTCAGCACACTAGATGCATGTAAAGCTATGATTTAAGGAAGGGGAAATCAATCTGTAAAGAGTGAAATTCCCTCTACACATGTGTCTCCAATGTTCAGATGGGGGGGAGGGCTTGAGGATTATAAAAACGTAGACCCCAGGGAACAGTACTGCTGGGTCACTCCATGCAAATGCAAATTGTGTGGCTTGCTCAACTGAATATTGATACTGGAAATAGATTCAAAAACATGAAAGTATTTAGGATGGAGATATCAGCTTATTGCTTGTTATGGGTACTATCTTCTCAGGTTGGATGATTATTGTCAAGTTATTTTTAAAACTCATATATTAAGTTATACAAAAAGAGATGGAGTCATGTTCCTTTACACCATATACAGAATATATTTACTTAGTTTCTATTAATTTGTCTAGGCTTGTCCACAAATAAATGACACATTATCTAGACATATTAAGATATATCCAATCTTCAGACCTGTTAAACAAAGTAGATACATTAAAAGATGCAGCCACAGAGAAAGGAAGTATGTTTTTGTTAAAATTTCAATCATGGCTCCAATAATTCTTCTCCTGCCATTGAAACATCCTGTTGGTAGAGCAAAAATAATACCAAACTCCAAAGTGGCCACAAACATAAAGGCCTCAATGGCTGAAATAAAAATACAGTTCATTATTTTTTACAACTGCTATTATGTTTACTGCAGGGTGCTATCCAATTGAACTCATTAATTCAGCAATTATATTGGAGAGGAGAAAAGAGCCTTAGGGTTTGAGTTGCATTCAAACTGCCTACTAAGGCTCCTTGACTTCTATCCAGCAATCCTTAAAGTGAGAGGTACAAGAAAAGGAATTACAGACATACACGTTTCACATACTGATAAAAATCCTTGAGACAAAGGGAGTGAAAGAAGACAGAAGACTGTGTTTAAAAAAATCAAGATACATTTTTTACATTGGAAAAAAATGTTTATTTTCTACTGTTTTTATTATGCTACTATTCACTGGCAAGTAAAGATCACATTTTATATGCCAATAATTGCCAATAACCCACCTGCTGTGGATACTGTAGGGGAAAAAAACCCTGTATTTGCAAATGTTCAAAAAGGCATTTAGATACAAGCTAATTTTGAAGAACATTTTCATTAAGTGTACACTGAGAAGAACTTCTCATCTTCTTGATGTGCTAGCATTAATATTTGTAATCAATTACTTTTATTTAAATAATTATAGAAATTTACGTCCTGCATCATCTTCATTATGCTAGATACCAAGAAGGTACATAATTTCTTCTTGCAGCATCTCCCAGTTTCTGACCTTCAGGTTTTTCAAGGGAAAGATGACTCAAAGCCTTTTCAGCTCTACCTTGATACAAACCACTGAGTTTTGGTTTTTTTTTTTGACATATGATTGTACAGATGCATGCAAGAAAGGGCATGGATATGGTTAGGGTTGCAAGCAACCGATTTTATTTCCCTTTTACATGGAATGAGAACGAGGAGATTGGTGTTACTACAGGCCCTGCAATACCTAAGGGAACAGTTGTGATGCCAGCAGGAGTGAAACTGGTGGTGATATCATTTAATTATGATAATGAATAATATGTGCAGTTAAGGTTTTGCTTAAAATGTTTGAGGTTATGAGAAATACAGGATACAATGATCAACCACAGTGTCACTTTTATGAATTGGCTTTTTAACCACAATATAACAGACGTAGATGTGAGTCAGAAGAATGCAAACTGAGTAGGCATAATTGATAAGTTTTACATTGTTATTATTACACACACCTCATTAATAGTTGATTTTGGAGTCACAAATAATATTCTAACTTAATCAGATAGACAAGAGATCTTACCTCTTTCTTTGAACTATTGTAGTTAGTTTACCTAAAAATATTGTTTGAAACCACAGAATTTCTGAAGGTGATGCTACCTATTTGCATATCCTACAGTGGGTTGTTGTAATTTAGATAATTTAATTTGTTAGAAATGTGGGACGTACAATATCCCATATTGCTGTAATTTTTTTCTGTCAAATACACCAAAATCAAAGTAGCAGTGATATCTACAGCACTAAAGTAAATTACTTACTCTGGGGAAGATTCTGGAGTTAAATTGGACATCTCTTCTGGCGTAGGTACTATATATATGCAGACACAGACAAATAGAAAGATAGAAAAGAAGGAAATAAAGTCTCCTTTATTCCATGCATATTTCTCAAGCAGTTTATGACTGTCTGAATTTCTAATAATCAATCTATGCTTTACGTTCACCCCAACCCTGCATTTAAATGTAACTAACTTGAATAATTAACTTAGTTCTTATAAATTATCTAAAGATGCTAATTCGCTCAACTATATTAACAAACTTATTTTGATCCTATTATGTACAAGAGGCTATAATATACAGAAGACTAAAATTTAATGCACTGTATATCTGGCAAGAGCAGCCTGATTACTTGCTAGAAATTGTGTATCATTTCTACTTTCCCTTGAAACTGAGGACATGAAGTAATCTCAAAATAGACAATATTACAGTGCAGAACAAGCAAAGATAGAAATGGGACAGTGAGGAATGCCCTATGCATTTACTTAAACCAGTATTGGATTTGAAAATGTGAGACTTTTCATTGATAGGACATTTTTTTCCTGTTTATACATAAACCTAGAAGGCAACAGTTGTGCCCTTGTAACCTTTCATAAACTGAAGCAACACTGGGACACTGGCACATTAGTTTACTACAGGCAGTGCCTTACCTAAAGCTCACTGTATCACAGTTCATGTGACATGAAAGGAAACTGAAAAATGGACTTTCAAGTACCTTGTATGGCTCACAGGAAATTATTAGTATCATTAAATATAACAATGATTTTATTGAAAATACTCTTGGTTTTAGTCATTCAGCAAAATTATTTGAAATTGCTAATGATTTTTTTGATCATTAAAACACATGATTATGTACCAACTAAATCATGAATTACATAAATAATTGTGTATTATCTATCTGTATGGAACAAAGCCCAATGAAATCAAAGGCATGTCACACAGGGTCAAAGTGTAATGCTATGTGAATTCCCACTATGTGTAAAAAGGTATTAATCAGGTCGGAGGTTTACTCTGCATCCTTTAGGACCTCCATGTAGGGTATTAACTCTTCACTTAATTACGGTCTTTCTGGGCCATGCAAGGGCTAAGCTTGTTCAATTGAATATCTCTCCTGAATTTCATTTCCTTAATAGTCATTAAGGAAACCTCCAAGCATCGGTATACTTGTTAAAAAAAAAAAAAATCAGTGTTGTATGGAATGATTTATTACCAACACTGTATTTCACTACATCCAACAGTGTTCACAATAGCAACCCTCTCAATCTGCTTTTTAGATTTTATAGTGCAATTGGGTGTTTTTTTTTGTTACATAACAACAACCTCAACAAGACATAATGAAGACCACAGATTTGTCCGTGTAAAAACACACTTAAATGAAAGAAAACTAAAGTAAAAGAAATTGCTATACTATACAACAAGCTTCAGAGTTTGGCTACAATGTCTTCTCCATAATTGCAGCTCTCCTTCTCTAATGGCCATTTTGAATCCTTCATAAACTGCAGTCAGTGTTATCCCATATATAAATTAAAGTGTTCATCTTTTTCAACAAAATTCATTGACTGCCTTCAATCTGCCTACATCTGAGAATACAACTCAGCTGTTGATTTTTGAAGTCTTGAGTCTATGATTGGGAAAAAATCAGTCTGTGACATAACTAGACGAATCCCACTTTGCCAAAGAGTTTTTCTATTTTGCAAAAAGCCATGTAACATTAAGCACTGATTTTTTAAAAATAGAAATGTGTTCAGACAAATGTTCTCACACTAATTCACATACTACTTCTCAGTTAAAAATTGGGTCTGAAAGCAGTACATGCTCTGCGTTACACATAGTAGTTCAGGACAGAAACAATAGGGAAATTTGTAGATTAGTACTGAAGCAAGTACCAATATCAAAGGTGCAAGTAGACAGAGCAGATAGTATTGCCATCTCCACAACATCTGTAATCTAAAAATAAAATTTGCACATATTCTTTTATATTAAAGTACAATTTCCATATAATTCACTTACATATCTCTGCTCCCTTAAGAGGATAATGCAAGTGCGTTGCAACTTATCTATCTTGGAAAAAGTAGCCCAACAGCACATGATTGATGCCATTCTATTGTTAGTTCCAGTTTCCCAGTGGAATCTATTTTCTATCAAGCACCCCAACAGAACTATGATTTACAAGTACCAAATCTAGATTTCACTTTAAAAAAAAAAAAAAAAAAAAAGTTGATTTTTCATTCTCAGGGTCAGAAAAAAATATTAAGGATTGAGTATTGGTAAAACTGCATGAAGGTCATTGTTTGAATAGCAAGAAGCAGCAGAGCCAAGTAGTAATAAGGGAACTTTCGTTTTTCTTGTCGATACTTCATATTATTGCCATCTATTAACCAACAGTTTTTTACACTCCTTTGTAATTTACTTTTTAGTCTTAAATTGATGGGGTTTCAGAATATGCATACCTTGCAATTTCCTGCGATGAAAGCGAGGCGATCCCAGAAAGCTGTTCTTGATTGAATTGAGTCGTGTTCTCCAGGGCATTCCTCCAATGCTGGGGCTGGATGGCGGCGTAGGGTTGGGTGTGCCCGCTGGGCTCTCCTTTGGCGTATGGACAGGTGTCCCCTTGGGGGTAGGGAGGGGACTGCCCCTTGGAGAGGGGTGAGGGGTAACCTGTATGATGGGGATAGATTTGGTGTTTGGGTCAGTACTGGAAGGGAGCAGTCTAACCGGAGACATAGGGTTAGTCTGTACTGTAGAAACAGCCAGCTGTGGGCTACACCCAGAAATAGGTGGACGACCCTGAGTATTTTGTGCAGGGACATTCTGAGACGGAGGAACAATAATATTATTAGAAGGGAGTGGGTTAGATTTGGTAGACTGAAGTGGTTTTTCAGCCAATTTGCTCTTGGAAGGTAAAGTCTGTGTCCTTGGGTTGGGCTGAAGTGCTGGCTTTGGTTGCAGAACATGTCCAGGTCTGGAAGTGTTCCTACAAGCATCGGAGTCCAGGGAGGCTTGGGGGCGGGGGGTGACAGGGAGATCGGGAATCTGAGGGGGGATGAAAAATTTTCTGAGAGGCTACAAGATACATACAGAGAGAGTATCCATGCACATCAAGAAAAGCAACACACACATACACACACACACACACATCCCAGGGGTGAATAGAGAAAAAAAGCCCATTTGAGTTGCAATTGTGCACATTACAAGGAGATATGAGTTATGGCAATGAGGGTAAAGGAGGTGGGGTTAAGGGTTTGCAAAGAAACAAAAAACAAACACAAACAAAAAACATGCAGTTAGCCAGGAACACAGCATAATCCAAAACAGCAGTAGCGGTAGTGAAAACAATTTTGTCACAAGCTTTATCATATTAACCAACCATGTGTCAGCAAAGAAAAATCACAGAGCAAACAAATGTGAAGGAAAACAAACTAAAAAGAACAGGGGAGGGAGAACAAGGGAAGCTGCAAAGAGAGAAACTGCCGTAGCCCTGAGCTGGTCTGTATCTTACAGGGAGAGAAGGACAAGGTTGAAGGGAGGTGAGGAAGGGGAAGGAGGACCATTCAATCCACAGCAACAACCAGCTTGTAGGCATGGAGGCTGAGTCTGCCCTCTCCCAGATCAAAATGTCTACTACAACCAAACGCAGCAGGGAAATGCAGAGAAAAATAATATGTGTGCGACAGGTAATGATAGAGGCACACAAATGACTACATATATCATTTCTCCCCATTTCTTTCAAAGGGGCACCAGTTTTAGTAACTCTTTGTGTGTGTGTGTGTGTGTGGGTGTGGGTGTAAAAGAGAGAGAGAAAAATATTCTGGCAGTTCATCTCCCTTCCTCCCTGGCCTTCTACCCCAAGAAAAGAATTCAGTTTTCTGTGTCAGGCTTTTGTACAGGACTTCTTCAGAGAACATGGAATGGTGTGGTGTTTAATTGTGAATCCCAGCAATGATCAACAAGACAGATTTGGTCTGCAAATTCTACCACAACAACCAAGTATTCCTTCTATCATTGGATAATCAAGCATTCTAATATTTGAATCTGGTTATTAACAAAAATGAAATGATATTATTCACAAGTAATTATAAATGAAATTAAAAAAATCGTATCATTAAAAATAGTAAAACTAAGATAACATTATACATTGTAAATTAATTATAAAAACATTCTAAGATTCTAAGACTTCAAAATATAAATCATGTATGCTCCAGGCAACAACATATTTCTAAAAGGGTACTCTTAGAACCAATCGCATCATTAAAAGGACTCAGAAATTAAAGGCAAAAACCCCATATTTGATCTTCATTTTATAACTGTAAGGCCATCTGAAAAATGACACACACATACAAACATATTTTCTACAAATTTTGCAGTTAAACTATTTAAGAAGTTACAACTGCATAAAATTGTAATTTAACTTTATTTTTATGTATAATATGACGGCAATATTATTTATTTCATTTGTTTGGAGTTTGGCAGAAGGAATGTAATTCTATTGGTTTTTCTTAATCACTCAGCTGGCTTTTGACTATGATATGCCATTGGATAACCTAAAAGATCTGGGACTTCAGGGGAGTAATGGTGGATTGAAAACAGCTTCATTTGAATGGAGCCAATAACTGCAGTGGTGAAGAGGAGCCAGCAAAAAGTCCGGCTCTTTGGAACCATCTCCGGACAAAGGAGATGACTGGATCACCCACGAGTACTCCTTACAGAGGCTCCCTGTGAACAGACTGCAATTTAGCGATCTCCAGCGGGTTGAGCGCTCTGGGAGTCGTGGGAAACATCCAGGCCAAGCTGCGGTTTGGAGCCTCCAAAGAGACAGTAGATTTGCTTTCACTCCCTCTTTTAATGAACATCAGAGATTACTTATTAGA